GTGGCACCACCGCCTTGGTCACCCCTCCCTGCCTCGCCTTCGTAGCATGCACTCTCGCTACCTGGTCTCTGGCCTTCCTGAGTCTCTGCCTGCCCTCCCTCCCTCGCCTGCGCCGCCCTGCATTCCTTGCGTCGAGGGGCGGCAGCGCGCCGCTCCTCACTCCTCCTCGTTTCCTCCCACCGAGGCTCCCCTGCAGACTCTCCACATGGACCTGTGGGGCCCAGCCCGCGTCCGTGGACAGGGCCACGAGCGGTACTTCCAGCTGGTCGTCGACGACTACACGCGTTACACCACGGTCTTCCCCTTGCGCAGCAAGGGGGGGGTCCCTGATGTTTTGATCCCCTGAATCCGCGCTGTTCGTCTCCAGCTCCGCGAGCGGTTCCAGTCGGACTTTCCTGTCCTGCGTCTACACTCTGACAGAGGTGGTGAGTTCTCCTCAGACCTCCTGGCAGCCTTCTGTGCGGAGCACGGCATCCGCCAGACGTTCACGCTTCCGGCCTCTCCGCAGCAGAATGGGGTTGCTGAGCGCCGCATTGGCTTAGTCATGGAGGTCGCTCGTACCTCCATGATCCATGCGGCTGCCCCCCATTTTCTGTGGCCGTTTGCGGTCCGGTACGCCGCGCATCAGCTCAACCTCTGGCCCCGTGTCTCCTTGCCGGAGACCTCGCCCACACTGCTGTGGACGGGGAAGGTTGGCGATGCGTCGCGTTTTCGGGTCTGGGGTGCTCGTGCCTTTGTCCGCGATACCACCGCGGACAAGCTCTCCGCTCGCGCCATTCCCTGCGTCTTCCTTGGCTTTGTCCCTGACGCGCCTGGCTGGCAGTTCTACGACCCCGCCTCGCGTCGTGTCTTTCCGTCTCAGGACGTCACCTTTGACGAGTCCGTCCCCTTTTACTGTCTCTTTCCCTACCGCACTGCCCCTCGCCCCCTACCGCCGCTCTTTCTCGCCCCAGGTCCTCCCCAAGTAGACCCCCTCCCCGCGCCAGGTCCTGCTCCTTCAGGTGTTTCTGAGGTAGACCCTCCCCTGCCTGCGCCTGTTGAAGTCACTGGTGACTCAGGTCCTGCTGGGGGTGGTGCTGCCTTTGGGGGTGCTGGGCCTGGGGGTGCGGAGCTTGGGGGTGCTGAGCCTGGGGGTGCGGAGCTTGGGGGTGCTGAGCTTGGGGGTGCGGAGCCTGCGCGTGAGGACCCAGGAGGTACTGAGCCGGGGGGTGCGGAGTCTGGGGACGCTGAGCCTGAGCGTGAGGAGCCTGGGGGTACTGAGTCTGGGGGTGCGATGCCTGAGGGTTCTGAGTCTGCTGCTACGCGGTCGCCTTGGGGTAGCCGCCTTCGTCCGCGTGTGCCTCTCACCTCACAGCAGCTGCACGACTGGTACGGTCGCCGTCAGGGTCGCGCTTCTGGAGCTCGGGGCTCTGCCGCTGGAGGTACTTCTGCTGACGTCTCTGGAGCTGGGAGTGGTGCTGGTCCCGGAGGTGCTCGTCCTGGAGGGGCTGGAGCTGCTGGGGCTGGAGCTACTGCTGGGCCTGAGGGTGCTACTGCTGGAGACCCTGGGTCTGGGGGTGCTACTGCTGGAGACACGGAGGCTGGAGACCCTGGGACTGGAGGTCCCGGTTCTGGGGGTGCTGCTGAGGGTACTGGGGCTGCTGGAGGTGCTGGAGCTGCTGAAGGTGCTGGAGCTGCTGGAGGTGCTGGAGCTGCTGAGGGTACTGGAGCTGCTGGAGGTGCTGGAGCTGCTGGAGGTCCTGGAGCTGCTGAGGGTACTGGAGCTGCAGGGGGTGCTGGAGCTGCTGAGGGTGCTGGAGCTGCTGGAGGTGCTGGAGCTGCTGGTGCTGGTGGCACTGCACAGCCGCGCCTGTTCTTTGCTCCACTGTCTCCGTCGTCTCTGCCACCGCCTGACTCCGTACTTCGCCAGGTTCTTAGCCTCCCGTCGTCTACTGGTCTTCCGTTACAGCCTGGCTCACCTCTGCCTGCTCCTTCTCCTTACACTGAGCAGACAGGGGGCTTTACTGAGCGTCGTGAGCCTGCGTCGCGTCCTGTCTCACCTGTCCGTTCTGGTCGTTCCAGTCGTCGTGTTCCTCGTCAGCGTCCGCCGGCTGTCACCGGCCCTTCCCTTGTAGTCCGTCGTCCTTCCTCTCCTCCGCAGTGTGTTCCTCTGCCGTCTCCTCCTGAGTCTTCTCTGCCTGTTGTTCCGGACCCTGAGTCTGACCGGTTTCGTGCTGAGCACCCTACTGTCACGCGTCTGCTAGCCACTATTGTCACTGACCCGTCGCTTGAGTCTGCTGCTGCGTTTTCCCTAGTCGCTGAGCTTGTTGACTTTGCTGCTGCATGTCGTCTAGACTACGCTGCTAGTCTTGTTGCTGAGTCTGAGTCTGTCTGTCCTCCGTCCGTCGGGGGTGAGTGTGCTCTTGGCACGGACGTCCTTGAGGACAGGCACGAGGACCTTGAGTGTTTTGCAGCCGCTGCGCCTCATCTCGTGTCCATGCTGCTTGCCCCTGAGGGAGACCCGGATGCTCCAGACATCCCGACCCCGCGCTCTTACGCTGAGGCGATCGCGGGTGAGTACTCCTCTCAGTGGCAGACAGCCATGGATGCAGAGATGGCATCCTGGAAGTCCACAGGCACCTACGTCGACGAGGTTCCCCCTCCTTGGGCGAACATCGTCAATGGCATGTGGATTTTCAGGGTGAAACGGCCGCCAGGTTCTCCGCCTGTCTTCAAGGCTCGTTACGTTGCTCGAGGTTTCAGTCAGCGAGAGGGAGTTGACTTCTTCCAGACCTTCTCCCCCACCCCGAAGATGACCACTCTTCGGGTACTGCTGCACGTTGTCGCTCAGCGTGACTACGAGCTTCACTCTCTTGACTTCAGCACAGCTTTCTTATAGGGCAGCCTGCACGAGGAGATCTGGCTGCGCCGCCCACCTGGCTTCACTGGGTCGTTCCCTCCTGGTACCCAGTGGAGCCTCCGGCGGCCGGTCTACGGTCTCCGCCAGGCGCCACGTGAGTGGCACGACACACTGAGGACGACACTTGCGACTCTTGGGTTTTCTCCGTCGACTGCTGACCCGTCGCTGTTTCTGCGCACCGACACTTCACTGCCGCCGTTCTACATCCTCGTGTACGTCGACGACTTGGTCTTTGCCACTGCTGACACTGGCTTGCGGATCACCCGGGACAGAGCACGCCGCACCATCACACTGACTCAGTCACACATGGTGCAGCAGGTCCTTCAGCGCTTCGGCTTCACCTGGTCCTCGGCACAGGCCACTCCTCTGGCTACAGGTCACTCGCTCTCAGCTCCACCTTCGGACGAGTCCGTAGAGCCGAGTGGTCCTTACCCAGAGCTAGTGGGCTGCCTCATGTACCTGATGACCTGCACTCGTCCTGACCTTGCGTACTCTCTTGGCCTTCTGGCTCGCTACGTGGCTCCTGGTCGGCACCGAAAGGTGCACATGGAGGCTGCTAAGAGGGTACTACGCTACTTGTGCAGTACATCAGGCATGAGGCTCGTGCTTGGAGGACGGAGCGACGTTGTCCTCACTGGGCACTCAGACGCTTCTTGGGTTGACGACCAGGCTACGCAGCGGTCGTCACAGGGTTACACCTTCAGCCTTGGCTCTGGTTCGGTTTCTTGGCGTTCTACACGCTCGTCTTCAGTTCTCGGCTCCGGTTGTGAGGCTGAGATCTACGCCACAGCCATGGCTGCACAGGAGTTACGCTGGCTCACCTACCTGCTGACCGACTTGGGAGAGAGGCCTCGTTCTCCTCCAGTGCTGTACGTCGACAACAAGGCCGCCATTGCCTTGTGTCAGGAGCACAGACTGGAGCACAGAACGAAGCACATCGCTCTGCGTTACTTCCTTGCTCGAGAGCTACAGCAGCGTGGTCAGCTTCGTCTTGCTTACGTGGCCACTCGGGCCAACACTGCTGATATATTCACCAAGGCGCTTCCGCCTGGTGATCATCAGCGTTTCTGTACTTTGTTAGGCCTTGTGCCTACGTTTCCACACTTTCTGTAGTCTTTGCCTGTACTGTGATCTATTTATATATACCTGCATGCTTGCTCTTGCTAGCTAGAGATCACTGTGCTGTTCTTGTTGCTTATATACCTCTGCATGTGGACTGGCCTTGTGGCCGTTTGCTTGTGCTCAGTGTGTGTGGTGACGTTGTGATCCACCCTGAGCTGTGTTTTGTTTCTTCTCTTGACTGGTCTTGTGACCGTTGCTTGCTCTGGCTATCCCCCATTTCGCCTGTGGGGGTGTGTCAAAACATATGCATATCATTCTCTAGGCTATATTGGGGCTAGCCTTAGGGGGTACAGAAACTCTCTCGACACTCTAGTCTTGTACCCCAACCTTGACCTAATCTCATCATTCCCTTGACTTAGTCTTAACAGAATTCGCATTCTCCCCGCAACTGCACCCCACCCCATCTGCTGTTCTTGTCTTCCCTCATATCCGTTTGACATACGAGCTCTGAGTTACAGTTACCGTATATGCAGCCCTGCGCAGTCCTATCAACGTTTACTGTTAGCCCCAGCCAGGCGAAGCAAGCTGTTCCATGGAGACAGCAAGTGTGTACTCTCCCGGTCGCTGTGTGCTCTCCTCTCCTCCCCACGCTCCTTTGCACGCCCTGCCCTGCCCCGGGCACTTCCGAGTGCTTGCAGTTGACTCAGAAGTCACAACTGTGTGCACGCATGCATTCCCCCCACTCCGCTCCACACTCTACACTCCACACTGGGCACTGCAAACACAATATATGGTTCAAAGCAGCTGTGACAGTGCCTGCCTTGACATTCCTTGCTCTCCACTCTACCTTCACCTACGCTGCTGCTTGCTGGATCATTCCTTGCTGTCTCACGATCTGACATTCCTTTCTGTCCGCACTACCAATCTTGAAAGAGGTGGTTCGTAGGGTGGCAGTGTGCGTGTGCGAGTGGGTGAGTGGGTCGCCTAAAGGCCTAAAACCCGTCTCCAGGCCCAAGGTATAATCCTCAAGCCTTCAAGCTCACGCACCCACGCTCTGCCTTGCATGCCAAGGCTGCCAGGCTGTCACTGCCAACGCGTTTGGCGCCTGCTGCTGCGCTGCTGGGGCACAATGGCCCCCGGTGGTAGTGGTGCGTGTGCGCATAGGAAGGAGGCTTGCCCACCCTGCTATAGCCGCACTAGCAGACGGTGCAGCAGCAGCAGCAGTGGTGGTAGCAGGAGGAGTGGCAGTAGCAGCAGTAGCAGCAGAAGCAGCACCAGCAGCAGAAGCAGCAACTGCAGCAGCAGCAGCAATAATGGTGGGAGCACGATCACCGTTCCCTGGCTTCTTCCCTCCAGCCTGCAGCAACCACTGATGCTCCAACACCTCAAACGAGCTCAGCCGTCGATCCGGGTCCTCCTGCAGCATCCGACGGATCAGATCCTTCGCTCCCGCCGACACCCCTCGCCAAACCACCCCATTGAAATTCACCGGGGTTCCCGGGATTCGACCAGTGAGCATAGCAGCAAGAGTGATACCCATACTCCACACATCCACCTTGCAACCATACCCCTCCCCTCCTCCTCCTCCTCCTCCTCCTCCCCCCCCACCGCCCCTCTTCTTCCCCTCCCCTCCCCCGAGCATTTCCGGGGCCATATATAGTCTAGTACCTGCCCCTGCGTCGGTCTTCCTCCCCCTAGGCCCCCCCTCCACGTGTGTTGACAGGGCGAAATCAGCTAGCTTCACAATGAACCTGGAGCGGTCGAAGGGTTTGTCAGAACGGTTGGAAGCGGTGGGAGGGGGGTGATTTGTTGATCTTTCGGCCTCTGAATTGGCAGAGTGGGGAGAGCGAGCGGGAGCGCGGTTGGCTTGGGCGGGGGAAGCCGCGTGCGCGGAGGAGGAGGCAAGCGCGGGAGGCGCGGATGGGTGCGGAGAGCAGAGGGGGGAGCGAGGCGGGGAGGGGAATGAGGAAGAGTGCGGGTACGCGGACGGGGAAGGAGGAGAGGAGAAGGAGCAGGAGGAGGAGCAAGAGGAGGAGGAGGAGGAGGGCGGAGGCAAGGAGGACGAGACGCGGCAGCGGCGCGTGTGGGAGGCGGAAGGAGGAGGAGAGGCCTCGGGCGAGAGAGGAGAGAGGGGTGAGAGGGGCGAGAGAGGCGAAAGGGGAGAGAGGGTTGGAGAGGGAGGGAGAGAATGCGGGCGGTAGGAGTGGGGCTGGCAAGGCGGTTCGAGGATGAGCGGGTAGGGAGCGGGGGCAGGGGTGGGTGTGCGGGGAGGGGAGGCGCGCGGGTGAACACCAGTCTTCCTAGTAGCACTGCTGCTGCTGCTGCTGTTGCTGCTGTTGCTGCTGCTGTTGCTGCTGCTGTCACTACTGCCGCGACAGCCCGAAATCCAAAGCTCCGTACTGCTAGCCCCAACCGAAGAGCACGGCGACTTCGACGGCGATCGCGGCGGCGTTGGCGCCAATCGCGGCGACAAGGGCGACGGCGACGGTAACGTCGACGGTGACGGAAATGCGGACGGCGACGGCGGTCGAGTAAGCAGCACGTTGTCTGGCTTCACGTCGCGGTGGATGACGCCGCTCGCGTGACAGAACGCCACGGCGGACGCGATCTGACGGAAAACGGCCGCCGCGTCGCTCTCCGTCAACGGGCCGCGCTTCACTATCTCCGTTAGTAGGTCCTCTGAGTCTGTATACTCCATAATCACGTGTACCTTCCAGCGGTTACTACTGGAACTGCCAATACCATCGGTCTTAGGACTAGCTGCATTACTTGCATCAGTAACGCTGGTATCAGCTTCAGTCGAATCGCGAGATGCCGTTTCGCGGTTTCGGCTGGTAGTAGCAGCGGCGGGTGAAATTTGACGTGGCGGCTCTACGACGACGTCAAGCAGGCGAACGATATTCGGATGCCCGGTTACCACCTCCAGCGAAGATACCTCCGCGAAGGCATCCAGCCGCATCAGCGGCGATTGGCGAAGGTGAGAGAGCTCCGAGTCGCGATGGCCGCCGTTAAATGCGGCGAGAGAGTCAAGCGCCTTTTGGGGTCCCTCAAGCGCCGCGACAGAAGGCGAGCTGAAGGCATTGAAAGACAAAGCGGCGGTGGCGGCGGCTGCCCTGGAAAGGCGGAAGCTCTTGCAGGCGACTCTTTGCGGAGGACTGGCGACTCCTGGCGACGACTCGGCGACCCCTCGCGACGACGACTCCGCGACACTTGATTGTCGAGAAGGAGGATTTGCCGCTTGTCGGGTCGTTTCTTCTAGAAGGAAAGGCTGACCCGGCGCTCGCGCCTCCGCTGCAGTGGCGCGCAAATCCGCGCATTCCCACACGGTTGCCTGCGCGCCCACTCCGACCTGGCGGACGTGCCGGTACCTTCCGCCGATGAGAGTTTCCGTGCGGGCCTGCGCCGGCTCCGCGGAGACGCGCTGCAGCGAGGGTTCCGCAGGCATGGTCGCGCTCGGGGACAAGAAGCGGAGCGGCGAGGAGCAGAGCTCAGTGCTGCGGAACTGAGCGGAGAGGACGAAGGCCGGCGGAAACAAGAGAGGTAGGCGGAGGCTGGGCGGAGAGGCGCAGCGCCCCAGCAGAGAGGCTGGGAAGAGAGGCTGAGCCGGAGAAGTCGGAGCTATAGTAGCTTGTTGTAGAACGGCTCTTTGCGAGTGATATGCGTGAGAGCGAGAGAGCGCTGCAAGAAACGAAACGCCGCGATTAATTTAATCTATTGTGAGATCGCTAATGGCGCCAGAGGCGAGCAGAAAATGTTGGGTGGATGAAAGCTGGCGTTTGGGGACTAGTGGTACGGCGACGAATGGCCGTGCGCGACACTTCCGGTGAGCGCTTACAGGGAAAAGGATGCGGACTGCTTTTGATAAAAGCCCCTTGACACGCGTGCCGTCAATGACGGACAAGTAAAGTGTTACAACAAAGGGGAGTGCGGGCTACTAGTGCTCAGCGCGTGCACACTACTCACGCCTTGCTCACGCCTCACGTCTTGACCACGCTTGGAGCACGCGTTTTCACAAAGTGGACGGGTCAGAGGCTGCAGAGACTTCTGTACGTATCAACTACTATTACTATGAGCCGCTGCAACGGGTAATACTCTGGCGTTGGACTTCGCCGGCGGAGTTTTTGCTGGGATGGTCGCTATGGCTTGTCACAACGTGGGGCGCGCTGGTCCGAAGGTTGGTGCTATTCTGGACTAGACGCGATTCGGTCCGATTAACTTTGACGTGGTCCATGCCTGCTTCGCGTCAACGCCTCTGGTGCGGTCCGTGCTCGAGGAATGACAACTACGCTCGGAGTTCGTGCGGTGCGATTAGGTGTTGTAATGCGGTTGACAACGGGACGACGGCCATGGCGAGTGCACGGGTGCCGTGTTTGCTGCTTACGAAAATGACGGCTGACGAGAGAGATGAGTGTCAGGATTGGTTCGGGGAGTGGCGGTGGGGTGAACGCAATGTCAGGACGACGCCTAAAGCCGTGTGGGAGAAGCAAAGCGACGACTGGGTGTGAAGAGGGGGGATACTGTGACAACTAGAAGAGATGACGAGAACGTAGGAGTCAACAATTGAGGAGAGAGGAGGGAGGTAACGAGGCAGGAGGAGAGGTGGTGCGTAGACTGATGGGGGTAGTCGGTTAGGTTGATCGAATGAGCAGAGGGACAACGACGACGGGAACTGGAAGCGGGAATTTTGGAGATGACGTTCGGCTCCGCGACTCGACTGCTGGCATCCGACGGTAATTAGGTCCGGAGCTCGGATCCGACGGGCACGGGCTCGGATCCGAGTTGAGTGCGCAACGCGCCTGGGTGGAAGTCTCTAGGTTTACACAAAGTTCAGGGCAGTTCACATAAACCTCTCGGTCAGGAGGTTGGGTTGCATCCAGAAGGCATCGTGCTGTCCCCAAGGTAGTGCAGTCAGTTGTGGGCGCTGGACGTGAAAGGCAAGCATTTTGGAGCACTGGGCCACTTGTTTCAAGTCTTGAAAAGCCCCTCTATAGTCAGACTGGAAAAGGGCAGCTAGCTTCAAAAGAACGAATGGCTTTTGGAGAACGTGACGACGTCGTCGAAAATTGCGACGTCGTTCTGGCGTGTGGAGAAATCTTGCTGGTGGAACTTCCACGAAGTTATTCGACTTCGCTAGCAAGATCACTCGGTCAACGAGACAAATCAAGCGAATGAGGCCCTCTTCTCTTTGGAGTGCATCTGTTACGAGTGCAATTGAGTGAGCGAGCGAGCGATGCACTATCGAAGCAAGAGTACAATGAGCGAAGGCATGAGCTAAGAATATATAGCGAAACTACAGTGGTAACGGTAATGAACTGTGGGTGACACGCGACGGGCCTGGAACCGAGGTTTGGGAAAATGTCGAGGCAGAGGCCCGGAGCGCGGGTTACCCGCCGAGCCGTGAATTCGGGGTGCGACGTGCGAAGGTGGCGGGAGGATTGTCGATGCGAGGGTTGCAAGTGGTAACGGTGCTGACTATGGTGCTACAGTGGTGTACGCGCTGAGCAGGGGCGCGAGGTAAGGAAAAGGAATTTTCCTTACACTACCCCCCCCCCCCCCCCTAGGGAGGCCCTCCTTACGAAATTGCGTGTACATCCCGGAAATTTCGGCTGCGCAGGTACTCTATGAGGACGGGGTGGTTTTCGATTATGTCCAGGGGAACCCAATTGTCTTCGGTGGGTGTACGGTCTCTCCAGCGGATTAGGAATTCGATCCTTCGGGCTCCTCGTGGGTCACGAATTCGGTGGCTCAGAATCTTCTCGGGCGTTATAATTGGCTCGGTCGGTGGTCGTGTCATGCTGGCGGGGCGATTGCGTGGCAGTTGGCTTGTGGATGGTACGTAGGGGCGAAGCAGGCTGACGTGGAAAGATGGGCTGACGTACCAGTCAGCGGGGAGGAGGAGGTGGGCGGTGACGGGTGTAATCATGTGGCTGATGCGGAATGGTTCACAGTATCGGGGGCGAAGTTTTGGGGTGATGGGCAGGCGGAGGTTCTGGGTGTCCAGTAAAACTAGGTCGTCGGGCTGGTAAGTGACAGGTCGGCGGTGGCGGTCGGCGTTGCGTTTAGCGATGATGTTCGACTTTTTAATTGCGTCTGCTGCCCGGGTCCATGCTGCTTGTAAAACTTCGGCGAACTGTTGTGCTCGTGGCACTGGGTTGTCGGGATTCGGGGTCATGGGTACTGTCGGGTCTTGTCCGTAGTTCAGGTAAAACGGTGACTGTTGGGTCGTGGCGGAAGGTGAGTTATTGTACGCGAACTCAATGAGTGGCAGTTGCTGTTCCCAGGTGGTTGGGTCGTCGCACGTGGCTCGAATGAGTTGTTCCATGGTCTGATTTGTCCTCTCTGTCTGTCCGTCGGTCTCGGGGTGGTACGAAGAACTGAACTGTAGTCGCGTGCCGAACTGCTGCCACAGGTTCTGCCAGAAGTTGCTAGTGAATTTCGTGTCTCGGTCGCTGATGATTGCTGCTGGTATCCCGTGCAGTCGAACGACGGTGGCGATGAAGAGGCGTGCTGTTTCTTCGGCTGTGATTGATTTTTTGCAGGCTGCGAAGTGTGCCATTTTCGTCAGTCGATCGACGACGACCAGGATCGCGTCGTTCCCACTCGCCTCGGCCAGTAACCCTGTGACGAAATCCATCGTCACCTGCTGCCAAGCACGCTCTGGGGGTGGTATCGGCTGCAACTGTCCTGCCGGCCGCTTCCGTGATGATTTCATGAGCTGGCAAGTGGGACACGATGCCACGTGTCGCTGTACGTCGGTCAACATTTCGGGCCAGTAATAATACCGCTGTAGCTGCTGCCGTGTTTTTTCTACCCCGAAATGCCCTGAGGTAACTCCGTCGTGTGCCTCTTGTAACAATAATTCCCGTAGCAGTGTGTACCCTGGTACCCAGATGCGGTCGGTCCCGGCTTTTACGTAATAGACTCCCTTTGCTGCTACGAACTGCTGCGAATTTCCTCCTGTGAAGAATGGATCCGTTTGGTACCCGTGGGTAAATAGGCCTGTCAGTAGTGGGCTGGTCTGGGCGAGTAGTATTGCGTGGATCTGGGCAGTGGGGCGGGTCAGTGCGTCGGCGATGTTCGATGCCCCCTTTTTGTAGGTGACTGTGTAGTGGAAGTTTGACTCGAGGAAATCGAGCCAGCGAATCTGTCGTGGGTTGAGGTGTGGCTGTGCGCGGAGGTACTGTAGTGATTTATGGTCTGCCCGTACTGTCACGTCTGCGCCGGTCAAGTAACAGCGCCACACTTTGAACGCGTGCACGATCGCAAGCATTTCGCGGTCGTGTATCGGGTATTTTTTCTTGGGCGGATGCAGTTTTCGTGACTCGTATGCGATGGGCTGTAGGCCGTTGCCGAAGTCTTGTAGCAGTACGGCTCCGATGGCGATGTCGCTTGCGTCTGTAACTACTTCGAATTGGCGGTGTGGGTCGGCGATGCGCAGTACGGGCGGTGAACAAAGAACTTTTTTCAGGGCAGAGAAGGCAGCATGCTCTTTCCCCCCCCCAAGTAAAAACGACCCCCTTCCGTAACAAGTCCGTCAGCGGCGCTGTTAACCGTGCCATGTCGGGGACGAACCGACGCACGTAATTGACGAACCCCAAAAAGCTCTGCAGTTCCGTGATATTTGTCGGGGGGTGCCAGGCTTTCACCGTGTCCAACTTCTTCGGGTCAATTTCGACCCCAGCCTCTGAAATAACGTGCCCCAAAAACTCTAGTCTGTGCTGAAAAAACTCGCACTTGGAACCCTTTGTCAGTAGCCGATGCTTGTCTAAAATTTTAGATCTGCTAAGTGCTGCTGCTTGTCGCGACTGTAGACGAGGATGTCGTCGAGGTAAACTATCACGCATTTATCTAAAAGTGGCCTAAACGCCTCGTTCATGGTCATCTGAAATGTCGCTGGTGCGTTGGTTAGCCCGAAGGGCATCACGGTGTACTCGAACGACCCGTACCTAGTCCGAAAAGCTGTTTTGGCGCAGTCCGATGGTTCTACTCTAATCTGATGGTAACCTCCCCGTAAATCTAATTTTCGAAAAAACCCGTGCTGTTCGCAGTTGGTCTATCAGTTCGTCGGCGCGGGGAATGGGGTACCGCGACTTGACTGTTACCCTGTTGAGCGCTCGGTAATCTATGCACATGCGAAATCCTCCGCCTTTTTTTGGCGTGAACAGTATCGGTGCGGCGAACGGTGACGAACTCGGTCGGATGAATTTCTTCTCTAATAGGTAATCTAACTGCTTCCTCAGTTCGTCGAGCTCGGGTTGTGTCAGTCTGAACTGGCGCTGTACAGTTGGCTGTGCCCCCGGTTCTAATTCTATTCGGTGGTCATGTGCTCGCTGAGGTGGCAGTCCTTCCGGTAAGTCGTCGGGAAAAATCCCCGGGTATCGTTTCAACAGTTCCTGTAGTTCGGGCGGTACCGCTGCCAGCAGTTTCTTGAAATCACTCGGTTGCTCTGCTCCCTCTGCCACTGCAATCTCTACTGCGTACACGTCAGCTCCAGCAGCGACAGCCCGTTTCATGGTGACGGCGTTGACGTGTACCGTTGAAGACTCGGGCTACTGCCAGCGAGGTAGTTCGACCCAGTTACCGCTACTTCGCACAGTGCAGCTACCCGTCGTCCAGTCAATTCGCGGGTTATACCGTCGCAGCCAATCACGTCCCAGTAAAATGTCGTGCCCATCCAATGTCGTCGCGAGCATTTCCTGTGTAAACCCAAAATTCCCCCCGCAACGGACTTTGACCCTCTCCACCTTTTCCCGTATGGCCAGTGGCGTGCCGTCAACTAAGCGTGCATCTATCTCAGGTAAACAACGACTAAGTGTCAGTTGCAGTTTCCGTGCGGTTGCGGTATTAACTAAACTGTGACTTGCTCCTCCGTCGATAAAAATCTTCACTGCTGCTCCCTGTATTTTCCCGTGGATCATTACTGGGCAATCCGTCGCTGTACCCTCCTTATTCGTCCGAGCCCGATCGATAGCATGAATCGGTACTGTGACTCGGTGAGGGTCGGTGGGGTTGGGCGAGCAGGCAGTCTCGTCAGTAGTTGGCCCGATTCCTACTGACTGCTGGCGTTTCCCTGCCTTGGAGACTCCCTCCCCTGCTCTGCTCCGCGGCGCCTCAGCTCCTCTGGGCACTCACTCTTGCGATGGCCCGGCCTATTGCAAGCAAAGCAACGCCCTTTAAACGGCGCGGCAGCTGCATTCGTCGCAACGGCATGTACGGTGGCGTGCTCGATCGTTCCCCGAGGGCGATGTCCGTAATAGGACCCCGGTCTCGGGCGGCGCAAAATGTCGATTTTCTCGGCGAGCGCGAGAATCTCGTTGAAATTCGAGAGTCCGCGTAGCATGATTTCGTGCGAGATGTCCGGCTTCAGCCCTCCGACGTAACGGTCCACCCGCTCCGCTTCGTGCATGTAGCCGACTTGCTCGCATAATGCGAGAAAACCGCTCGTGTAGTCTTGAACCGACCCGAGCTGCCGCCAAGTACGCAGTCTCTGACGCGCAGAAATAGAAGCCGCGATCGGCTCGAAGCGCGCCCGAAGCCCTGCGCACCACGCGTCCCACGTGCTGTACTGGGCGGTTTTGCAGAATGAACTCCAGGTGACGGCTGGACCCGTGGGCCCTTCCTCTTGCGACGGTGGCTCGTAGGCGCGTGGCGATGTCACGATGACTTGCCACCAGTCCATGGCGGGGCCCCTCAGCAGCGAGACGGCGTATCTGATCTTCGCTGCGTCCGACTCGACGTAGTTTGCGTCGAAAAATACGTTCATCGTGAAGACCCACGACTGAACCGTCGGACCTCCACGCTGACTCGGGTCGAAACAGGGCGGGCGCTGCAGCTTCAGTGGCATTGGCGTCATGATGGCGTGGTCGCCACTTGTCGCCGCAAATTCCACGTGCCGACGGGCTTCACGAGGCTCCCGTGGGCTTGGCGCAACCCTGTTCCTCTCCATGCCCGGCATCGAGTGGGCGGCGCCATCACTGGCTGCGCCTGAGCGCTGTCCCACACTGTCGTTCTGTGTCGGTGTGCCTGATGAAATGACGATCGGCTCCTCCGATTGTGCAGGTGCATTTGCAGGTGCGTGTGGTGGCGCCGGAGTATTCACCGTGGATTGCTGACGTGCGGAGTCACGTTCCGCCGTGAGCGTCGCAATTTCGAGCGCCGATTCTTCGACTTGGCGCACGAGACGGTCGAGTTGCTCCTGCGTCAGTGTCGCGAGCGTAAATTCGGCCATGGCGGGGGTGTCGGGCAAGCTCAGCGAGAGCCTCTGTCGTGGCCGTGCGTGCTTACGAGAGAGCACTACGAGCGGCGGTGCTGTGTCGCTGAGAGGCGTCTACCCCCCCCAAAAATTGAGATAGTGGGGAAGCGAAGGTGTGGGTGCGGTCCGAGAAGAGATCGTAGGCTCTGATACCAAGTGTTACGAGTGCAATTGAGTGAGCAAGCGAGCGATGCACTATCGAAGCAAGAGTACAATGAGCGAAGGCATGAGCGAAGAATATATAGCGAAACTACAGTGGTAACGGTAATGAACTGTGGGTGACGCGCGACGGGCCTGGAACCGAGGTTTGGGAAAATGTCGAGGCGGAGGCCCGGAGCGCGGGTTACCCGCCGAGCCGTGAAGTCGGGGTGCGACGTGCGAAGGTGGCGGGAGGATTGTCGATGCGAGGGTTGCGAGTGGTAACGGTGCTGATTGTGGTGCTACAGTGGTGTACGCGCTGAGCAGGGGCGCGAGGTAAGGAAAATGATTTTTCCTTAAAGCATCCATCTTTATAAACCAATTGTGATTTGAGAAGACAAATTTGTACCCCATCAGTCAGGTCAGGAATGGAAATTCAGCGAATCTAGTACCTTACCGTTATTTGATGCTAATCGAACAGGAAAGAACATCACTTGACATAAAAATAAAACAACGAAGCAATGTGTTAGTGCAAAGCAAACCCGTCAAGAGCATGAGCACCAATACAGCTCAAAAAAAGAGAGAGCAGAACGTGGTTAGTCAAAGCAAACAGGAGCAAGCAAGTCTTGCACGCGCAGAACTAAAACAAACAACCTACCGTAGTATTTCTCATATACTGTGCTTGTATACCGGGACGATGTTAGACTTAGGTGTGGTGTGGTGGCGGCGACAGCGAGGATGTTGACCACAACTCCGTCCGGCAGCTTTTGCTTAGCTTTGGCACAAGTGCACCACCACCACCACCCAGAGCATGCACAGATGTGTCGAAGTAAAAGAGCTGAGAGCTCTGAATGCAGTGAATGTGCTTGCTGCTTGCATTGCAACAGGCAACAATGGCGAAGGCAGGAAGTTGCACCACTGGATCACCCACCGCCTCCCCCTGTGCTCGTTATTCCCTTCCCTCTGCCCCCCAACCCCTACATCCCCTCCACCCCCTCCCCCAGTCCCCCCCTCCCCCCTTTCACCTTCCCCCTCCCCTCCCCTCACCCCTGCCTCAATCGCTGCAGCAGCTCCTTCGCCTCTGGCGCACTCCCCTCTCCCCCACCTCCCCCCGCGGCCCCTCCCCCGCCGCTCCCCCCAACGATCCGCACCAGGGACGGAATCGCCCCTTCCGCCCTCAGCGCCTCAACTGTCACCACCTCGGACTGAAGCATGGCCAGCAGCACCCCTGCCGCATCCTCCTTGCTCCTCTGGCACGCCCCGGCGTCGAGTAAGTCAATCAGGTGTGTTACTCCCACGCCGCCCTCCTGCGCTGCTATCTCCTCGCAGGCCTCGGGCAGCCGGGAGAGGTTCAGCAGGACGGCGGCTGCTTTCTCCTCCATCCCGGGCAGCCCGCCGTCGTCGTTCTCGTCCTGCCCGACCAGGCTGAGCAGCAGCGGGATGGCGCCCGCGGCCACGATGTCTCTCGCGCAGCGCACGGAAAGAGACAGCGCGAAGAGCGCGAGAGCGGCATCTTTACGCCCGCGCGCGGACCCTGTTTCCATCACGTGCACGAGTGCGGGGATGGCGCCTCCCGTGCGCACGAGCGAGCGGTTCTCGTCGTCCTTGGCGAGCACGTACAGCGCTGCTGCTGCCGTGGCCTGCGCTGCAGGGGTCGCGTGCTGCAGCACGGATACTAGAGACGGGATGCCGCCTGCCAGGACTACCTCCGGGCCCGCGTTCCAGTGGAGCAGCAGCGCGAGAAGAGCGTTCATTACGTTCTCAACCACCGCCTCTTCTTCTGCTGATGCTGCTCCCGCTGCTGCTGATCCTGCTGGTCCTGCTGCTGCTTCGTTGCACACCCGGCTTGCTCTCCTGCTCTCCCACTCGTCAGTGTGGAAGGCCAGGGCGGCTATCAGGGCTTCCAACACGCCTGCTTCCAGAAAGCTCCTGCGCTCCTCCCTGGTCTCACCGTTCGTCCGGGATTTCACCATGGCCCGGATTGATCGGGCGGCGCAGATCTTTTCCGTGCTGCTGCTGCCCGAGGAAAGCGCATCGGCAAGTGGTGCGTACTTGCCCATGGATGTTCCTGCTGCTGCTTGCTGTGACCCTAAACCCATCGACGCTGGAGCACGGTGGAAGGGAGAAGCATTGGCAGACGAAGAAGCAGCAGAGGCGGCAGCAAAGGCAGAGGCAGCGGCGGCGAAAGAGATGGCGCTGCCGGCGCCAACACCAGCTGCTGCAGCGTCGATTTCTGGTGTCCACATGAGGCTCTCGTTGCGTATGTGGCCCGAGTATCCGTTGCGGTTACCACCTGTATAGTTACCACCAGCACCTGCAGTGACAGCAGGGGCAGCGGCAGCGGGGGAAGAAGCAGAAGCAGTGGAGGGAGTGTGCGGGTGCAGCATTCCTCCCAGGTGTGTCTGGCTCCTCCTGTGACTGCCACTGTCGCCCTGCCTCTGCCCGCCCTGCCTCTGCTCACCCTGCTCCCCTTCCAGCCAGTCACCTGCTGCAGCTAGCGACACCACACCACCCCCTCCATCACTCCTGCACCTTTCACCACCAGCAGTACCACCACCAACACCATTGTTATTCCCCTTGCTGCCCCGACCTTTACCTATCCTGCTCTCCTGCCCCCTCCCCTTCCCCTCACCTGCTCCCTCCCTTGCCCCCTCCCGCGCCCCCTCGTCTCTCCCCCTGCTTGACCCGCTTCCTTTGCCTTTCACTCTGCTCTGCTTCCCTGCCCGTTCCTCTGCCAGCAGACATGCCAACTCCGCTTCCCTCCTCTGCTCCTCCCCCCACCGGCCCTCCTCTCGCTTGGATCCCCTTTCGCCCCGCGCCCCCCCAACCCCCCTCTCCCCCCTCTCCGGTTTCCTCTCTACTCCTCTCGGTCCTGCCAGTCCCCCCTCCTCCTCCTTCTCACTCGTCCACCCAGCACCGAATTCCGACCCCTGTTCCAACCTTCCATCCCCTACCTTCATACCCCCTTCCCCTTCCCCACCTCCTAGCCCGCCCCCTCCCCCTCCCCCTCCCCCTGCTCCCCCTGCTCGTCCCCTCCCCCCCGCACCCTCCTTCCCTCCGCGCTTCCCCCCAGCGCCCGGGGAAGCATCAGCCACCCGCCCCAGCGCATTACCAAACACGTGCAGGAGGCCAGGGGGGAGGGCAGACTTGGACCGTGCCAGCCCAAGCCCATGACTCATCGCCCCTCCGATACCCCCTTTCGCCTTCCTACCTGAACTCGCCCCACCATCAGCAGCACCACCAGGGGAGGCGGCAGCGGAAGAAGCAGGGGAGGCAGCAGCAGCAGCAGCACCAACAGCCGCAACATCGCTGCTGCAGCTGCGGCTCTTGCCAAACAGCTCCCCAGCCCCACCACCCCCATCCCCCCTCTCGCCTCTCCCCCCACTCTCCCCCCCACGCCCGCCCTTCCACTTCCATCCTCCCAGCATATCAGCCATTTTCCCTGCACCCTTCCTGTGGTGCCCTAGCCCCATGTCGGTGCCCTTGTGCTCTAAGGGCCGCTGTGAGGAGGGGAGCAGGTTGGGCGTGGTAGGAAAGGCTGCGATGGATACCATGGGGGGTGGTGGCAGGGGTGTTACCACTGCTGCTGCTGTTGCTGATGGTGAGGGTGCTGATGATGGTGGTGATGGTGGTAGGGTTAGAGGAGAGAGGCCGGGGGACGCATAGGCAGCGGCGTTGGCGTTGGAGTGGGCATCAGGGTCAGCGTTAGCGTTTATGTTAATGTTAATGTCAGCATGATTACCACCACCGCCCCCTCCCTCACCCCCACCCCAACTACCACCGCCACCGCCACCGCCACCGCCAGCAGCAGCGCTGTAGAGATCAATGAAAGCAGCAGCGGTGGTGGTGCCCGTGTCACTGTCACTGGCACTGGCACTGGCACTGTGACTGGCACTACGGTGCCCCTTGGGCAAATGCAGATCCGGAACAGCAGCACCACTAGCTGCACCAGCACCAGCAGCAATGAGACCCGCACCATAACCAGTAGCAGCAGCGGCAGCAGGGGAGCGAGTGTCGAGAGGAGGCCGCGCGAGGTTGCGACGCGGGGGGAGGGGCGAGGGGGCGTTGTGCTGCATGAGGAGCAGCTCGTGGGGGGGGATGTCCACGCCCATGCGCACCCCCAACCAGTCCTCCCTCACTGCCGCCACCCCGCCTGCTCCCCCTCCGCCCCCTCCTAATACTCCTCCTGCCCCTCCTGTGCCTCGTTCTGTGAAGCTCCCTGCGCGTCTCTCCACAGCAGCCACAGCAGCGTCTGCAAGCGCGCCCATGGCCCTCCCCCTCTGCGACCCCCACTCAAACGCCAGTCCTCCGCCTCCCCCTGCGCCTGCGCCAGCCATAGGGTGCCTGCCGTTACACGAGTTGCTCCGAACATGGTCCATCCCCTCCCTCACTCGCTCCCTCTCCCTCTCCCACTCCTCCTCCCTCGCACCCTCTTCCTCCTCCCCATCCCCATCCCCATCCCCATCCCCATCCCCATCCCCATCCCCATCCCCATTTCCTCTCCCACCCCCTGCTCTCCCTCCCTCTTCTTCGTCCCCTCCTCCTCCTCCTCCCCCTCCTCCCCTCCCTGCACCATCCATCCCATCCCCCCCCATCCCTCCATCCAAAGAAACCCGTTCTCTTCCGAAATCCGCGCTACTATCCGCTCTTGCTCCCTGCTCCCACTCCGCCTCTCCCCGTCGCCCCTCCCCCTCCCCCTGCCTCAACCGCGCAGCTACCTCTCCCCCAAAGCCGCTCGACCCATAAGCAGCAGCAGCAGCAGCAGCAGCAGCAGCAGCAGCAGCAGCAGCAGCAGCAGCCGACGCCGCAGCAGCAGCAGGCAGTGGTGTTTCAGCACCACCACCACCAGCAGCAGCAGAGCGACGGTGGTGCGGATCGCTGTTCTCGCTGCCTTGTCGCGACACCACAGGGGTGTCAACAGGCGTGCGCGCTATGCGGCTGCGCCCACGCCCCCGCGCCTTACCCGCCCCCTGCTCCCCCTGCTCCCCCCGCCCCCCCTCCTGTTGTTCTGCGCTATGGAAGCCCCCAGTCGCTCCTCTATCCGCGTTATAGTCACGCTCCTCATCACGGCCCTCCAATCCCGCGTTCAGTAGGGGCACGGGGGGAGTCTTGGGACGCTCCGCCCGCCGCGCGCCCTTCTCCCGCGGAACCCTTCTCTCCTCCGCCCCCACCTCGTCTTCTTCCCGCCCGTTTCTCTCCCTCTCCCTCTCCCTCTCCCTCTCCCTCTCCCTCTCCCTCTCCTTCTCCTTCTCCCCTTCCTCCCGCAACTCCTCTCCCACGCGCGCCGCCCCGGTCCCCCTCTCCCCCACCCTTCGCTTCTCCTTCACCTTTTTCTCCCGCCCTTCCTTCGCCCCCTCCTCCGTCCCTCCGTCGTCTTTCCCCCCGCCATCTCTGCTGCCGCTCCTACCGCGACGACTGCCTTTGCTGCTGATCAAACCCTGGGAACCCCCTCCGCGTTCCGCACCCCCCCCCCCACCTACTCCATCCAGCGCCAGGCCCCCCATCACCTCTTCTTTCTCCCGCCTCGTCAGCTTCACGCTCCCCGCTGCTGCTCTGCGCAACCCCGCTCCTCTTCCGCCCGCTTTCCCGCCGCTCTTCCCCTTCCCCTCCTTCCCCGCGGGCCCTGCTTCCGCCCCCCCCTTCCCGCTGTCTTCCGCCTCGTCCCATATTCCGGTCACCTCTCCGAACGTTACTCTCCGCCTGCTGCTGCCGGTCTGCGCCGCCGGTTGCGCCGGCCCCCGTTCCGCACTCTCCGCGTTCCGCCAGTGTTCCGTCTCCCCCAGCACCTCCGCCAGACCCTGGTTCCCCGCCGCAGGGAAGCTGCTGCGCGTGCGGGAAAGCAACGCGCTCTCCAGTCCCTCCCGCGATCCGCGCTCCCTCCCCGCTCTCGCCTGCTTCTGACGGGTTTCCATCGGCAAACCGTCAAATGCATCCTGACCGTTAAAACTGCCGGTGGGAATGCCGCTGCTCTTCCGCGCGCCTTTTCCGCCAACGGAACTAGTCGTGCGCAACGGCTTGCGCCTCTGAGTAGGCGCGGCTGCGCCTTCAGTCGCGGATGGGCCCCCGGCGGGACTTGCGGCGGATTGTGCGGCGTCTACTGCGGCGACGGCGGCAGCAGCTACGGCCGCCATATCCGGCGGATGCGCCTCTTGAAACGGCGGCTGCTGCTGCTGCTGCTGCTGCTCCTGCGTGGGGTCACCCGCCTTACCCCTTCCGAACGAGCTAGACGAGCCGCGAGAAGCCCTTAGACCCGCCTCCCCCTCCGCGCCGCCCTCGCCCCTCCTCCCCGCGGTGCTCCCCTCGCGAGTCAACCCTTCCCCGCTCGCTGTTCTCCGCCTCCCTTTCCCGCTCTTGCTGCCGCCCCCTCCGCCCGCAACTCTCCGCTTCTCCTCCTCACCCCTCTTCTCCCGCCTCGCATCCTCGTCGCGCTCATGTGCGCGCGAGTGCGCTTGCTCCCGCTTCTCCGCCCCCCCGTTTCTCCCGTCCGCTTCCTGGCAACCCGCACCGCCGTCTCCCTCCGCGAAGTTCCGCTCCGCCGAGCTAGGGTCCGCGCGCTCGCCGGACACGCCGGCCCCATCCACTTCCCCGCGCGCGAGATCCTCCCCGCCCGCGTTCTTCTTTCTCCGCGCGGCCCCCGTCTTCTTCTTCCCCAGCTTCACCGCGGCTCCTTCCCCGTCTTCCGCAGACTCTCCCCCGCCCCCTTTTCCGCTGCGCGAACCGCTCATCCTCTCCGCCGCGTCCCCCTGCCCCCGCTCTACCAGCGCCTCCCCTTGCGCGTGCGCTGCCCCGCGCACGGACCCCAACCCGTCTTTGCTGCGCGCCCTGCTCCGCCGCTCCGCTTTGCCCTCCGCTTTGCCCTCCGCTTTGCCCTCCGCTTCCCCCCGTTCTTCGAAAGGGTTTCCATCGCGCAACTGCTCCCTCTGCTCCCACTGCTTCTTCTGCTCCCTTTGCTCCTGCTTATGTTGCTGCGGTTGCATCGCCGTCGCGGTTGCGCGGGTCTCTATCTTTCTCGCCGCCATAGCGGCGCCGGCGGCGTTTTTGACGGCGGGACTTTCTGCGAAGCCCGAGGAAGGCTTCGACGCGGGAATCGGCGTGATTGGCGGGAGGCTGACGTCATTTGCCGCGCACCAATCAGCAATCATGCTCCTAAGGGCGAAATTAGGGCAGAAATTAGTGTGCTCGATACACTGTCTCGTTTTAGGGCAGGAGGAACGGCCCTCGGAAAACCATCGCTCGATATAAGCACGATCATATGTCTGCCCCGAGGCGATAATAACGGGGTCTCGCATAATCTCGAGCGAAAGAGGGCACAGAAACTCCTCCGGAACGTTCGCGGCAGGATCGCTGGTTTGGCTGCTGCCCCCGCCGCTACTATCGGCGCCGCTGTCGCCGCTGCTACTGCTAGGACTACCCGCATCGTTCTCCCGCTTGCCGTTTTCCCCGCCGCCGACTGCGCGACGGCTGCGTGAAGATGGTTTGGGCTTGTGACCCCCCATCTGCTGCTGCAGCGTCACCCACTTGGGGGGAGGCGGCGGGGAGAGAGTGTCTTGGCGCGAAAGGTTCCAGGCGTCTGGTTCGATGATTGGTTCGGTTGTAGCTGCCATTACTATGTCTTGTACGCGTCTACATGATAACGCGGATGTCATTTCGAGTTAAGGAAACGGGGCGCGGGGGTCGAAATGGGAACGGGAAAGGGAATGAGAGTGTAATCCGAAGGGATGAAGGGAATGATAGAAAGAAGAGGAAGACGGGGGAGAGAGGAGTAGGGGGCTGCTTATGCAGGCAATTGAATGGCAGCCAATCATTGGTGCGAAACGAGAGGGACCGATGAGTATGCGCGGCGCGGATAGCAGAAATTGCACTATGCTACATTTATGAAGCTATACTATTGGGACGGGTAACGACGTGCCTTGGTACATTTTAAGAGGTGTTTTGGTAGGCGACTCGTCCCACATCGCCTTCCCAGTTCGTTCGCTCGTACGCGACTGGAAAGGAAAGCGGCCGTCATTTCCTGTTTAATCGCCCTTCCTAGTCTAGAGATCAGTGGAGGAGGAAACACTACTCGCTTGCGGACTTTCCACCATCCTCATTTCTCTTGTCGTCAGACCGCTACGCAACTGCTGCGGTTTCGGTTCAAGCCCCACAATGACAACTTTTCGTTGGCAGCACTTGACAGTAGTGCAGCAACTTTTGGACTTCCGCTGCTGCGGAGCGGAAACACCACTACCTCTGCTGCTCACTCACATCACAATGCGGGCAATTAAGTTACTTTAATTTGCGTTTAAGAGCGGTTCATTTACTATTACAATGGGTTCCGTAAGATTATGAGCGTAAATGCTTCAAGCCAGAGTTCAGAATTGAAACCCCTACGCGCTGGGTCTGTTGGCTCGCGTCGTCGTTGGCGAAACCGCGCAGATGTGTTGGGGAAGGGAAGCACACAGCGTGCCCTTATGCGCATTTTGCGGTTGCCCCTTGAACTCGCCGCCAAATGTTCCCACTGGCCTCGTGGTGAGCAGTGAATCTGAAGTGCGCTTCGCTGTTGGGGCTAATGTTTGAAGGACCCAGATCAGGGCTCTCGATTCATTTTGGGGCACGCTGCCTGATCCGAGTTGTGACCCACTACACCCTGCCACTGCAGTGTGCCTTGGCAGTCGTACCCAAGAAATGGCAGTGTTTGTTTTTTTCGAGGTCGAATCTAGCAGGGTAGAAAATCCGAAAACACAGCCTAGCTAAACTTTTGGGTCCCGCAGTCGACCGTGCCATCAACAATTATTCCCAGGAGCCAGAAAATCTGGTTCGATCGACAGAGAGGGTGGTCGTCTCAACCCATCATTATGCGTAAGTGCGTGGTGGTCGAGGTTTTAGTGGTGTAAGGTGGGGACATGAGAGGCCTGTTGGTTAAGTTAATCGGTGGGTCTTCTAGTTACGGCCACTAGCGATAACACGCCACTCTCTGTGCTAGAGCAGAATCTCTGGTGTTTCAAGTACTTCCGATTTTGGAATTTCAGTCCCAAACGCTACTGGACACATTTCAGTCACAAATGCCACTCATGCTAGAGCTGAATCTCTGGTGTTTGAAGTACTTAGCCGATTCTGGAAATTTCAGTCACAAACGCTACTGGACACTTTTCGGCTTAGAGGAAAGCCGTGCAGTTAGCGAATTTCTGCAAAAGGGAAAAAGTTGGCAGGGTGTCTGCCGTAACGAGCCGGGACACGGCAGTGTTGCACATAAGCGTGAAACTGCATCTGCAGGGTTTGTTATTAGTCCTGCCTTTCGATGACAGGGTGGACGCCCAAGCAAACCCAATTCTAGCAGTGTGGGTCCAATTTTTCACCCTGAAATGCAGGGAAAACAGGGTAAAATGCCCTGATATCCTGAGCCCTGACCCAGATGCATCCAAGTCTCCCACGTTGAGAATCTGGAGATATCTCGGGGTCCTGCAACACTAACCATGGGTAGTCGGGATGTGCAGTTTTGGGTCGTGTTTTCCCATTGAATTCCAAAGAACCTGCAGAAACAAAAACCGATGCTTCTCTAGCGCTTGAAACTGTGCAGATGTGCATACCAGTCCACGCTTCTGCCCCCTCCCTAACCCCACTCGCTTAGCATGGTGGCCATCAGAGGAGCGCTAAGCTTGAGGATTTAGTTCATGAGATGTTGTTGGTCGTGCACAATGAAAGGACTGACATATCCCGTTCTCTAATCCTGTAATTTATATACCCCCTATATATCTAGTCATTAAAAGGGTGTCCGTGATATGAAGAAACCTCTGATATTTACCCTTTGATCCTATTCTCTGTTCGCTACAGATACCGGGTGAGAAGGAGGGAGGAGGAAGAGGGGAGAGGGGATGGGAGCGGGGGTGGGGGGAGGGGAGGTGGAGCTTGGCTTGGTGGGCTGGGTTGGTTGGTTGGCTTGGGAGGTATTCAAGGGTTGAGCTTTGGAGGAAAGAAGGGCCCATTAGGTGTGGTTCTCACGGTTTGGGGTGGTGGGGAGAAAGTTGGTGAGGTGCACAGCACACCTCGTGCTCCGCGGGCTCGTGGCAACATTTGCTTCTGCGTTGGTTCGGAGGTGTACCGCGGCTGCGGTCACACAGAAAGGAACTGAAACCTGTCCCAAAACCAGCTGGGGCTGGGAACGGAAGTCATTTTGGCATTCGGGAATTCGCCAGTTCTTGGCGGAAGGCGTCGAATTCGACCATCTAGAACTAGCGACGGGCAGATACTAGGGAAATTATACGAGCAGTCACAATTAAGCCCGTTTTATCACGATTGGTCACAGGGGTATCACAAACAGTCACAGTACAGTAGATTTCTATCGCGGGTGATCACAGTGCTATCACGGATGGTCACACCTCGCCTCTAATAGCTATCACGTTTGGTCACTCGATGAAACGATAATGATTAATTTGAAACCACAAAAGAAACTGTAGAGATTTTGGGGAATCCCAATCTTGATTGCTTGTTACCTCGCGCATGATTCTAGCCTGACATTTAGGGGACTGAAGGAACAATAAACCCCTATAGGATGGCGCGTCCTTCGGGAGGCATCAACCCTAAAAACCATGCGACAAGGTGTTTAGGGTTGATGCATCCCTAATTAAATCCCATCCGAACGGGTTTTAGTTTTTTTTTGTCTTGGGAACAGAAATTACCCTTCGAGTTTCACCCGTCTAAAAGTGATATTCTTAGGGACATTATGCATCAATCGAGCAGTGGACAATCGAATAGTAACAAGAATCTGCAGATGTTTTTAACGAGTTACCGAGAGTTGTCGCGAAACTATTTCGTAATACTACGGACAAAACTACGCGCGCGAGAGAACTTTCCCTGAATCCCTACAGTGACTTGAGTAGTTTCAACAATCTATCGACCGATTCAATAAATGACCAAACGTGATAGCTTTAGAGGCGAGGTGTGACCATCCGTGATAGCACTGTGATCACCCGCGATAGAAATCTACTGTACTGTGACTGTTCGTGATACCCCTGTGATCAAACGTGATAAACCGGGATTAATTGTGACTGCCCATATAATTTCCCCAGATACTACAACAACAACAAGTCCCAGAGAAGCGAGGTGCATTGGCGCAAGGCACGAAACACAACCAATCATGTACGGGGATAAGGCAGCCCTTGTCTTGTTCTGTACAACCTTCAACTGTGAGTAAATACACTTGGTTCCACTTCGCTAAAATATTCTTCTTCTAATTGCAGTACACGTAAAGCACCATCAACAACTCTGCACCTCGTTTGAGACCGTACACCTGATATGTCATTTGTACCTGGTGTATTCTTCAGGATTCAAGGTTCTTGGGTCGTGCTGCACACACCCAGCACAAGGAGGTCAACAGTGAGAGTGGTGGGGCAAACCGAGAGGAAGTGGTCCCTGACTACGCGAAGGGAGTCAGGGAGACGGGTGACTATGTAGTAGAGGGTGATGTACATGGGGGGGGGGTTCTTGGCGCAGAACTCAGCAGGAAGCGCAGCGCGGTAGCGAGTGTCACTAGTGCGGAGGTGCGTAATGAGGTCAGCGACTGTGGGAAAGGCAGCAAGGTCAGGGAAGAGGTACGGTAGCATGAGGCGGCTCAGTGCAGCAGTGGCAGGGGAGGAGTAGCGTGCAACTACAGCGTCGTACAAGGTCTGAGCACTCTTGTACTGGCTAAAGTGCGCACGCTCAGAGGTAGGCAGGTGGCGACGCACAGCAAGACGTGCAGCAGCGTCGCGCGTGGCCCACTGTGAGCGAACAGTGGCGTCAGCATCAGCAGCGGGGGCAGGAGAGGCACCAGAAGTGAGGTCAAAGAGGGAGAGGCTGTCTGCCCTATCGCACTGTAAGAAAAGCTGCAGGTCATCTATCCAGACTTCAAAGTCAATGGCCCGACCCTCAGCGTCAAAAGCGAGGACACTAGGGGTAGCCATGACAGCAGTAGACTAGTAGCGCAAACAGTAGGGTGAGGGCAGTGCTGTGAGAGAGGCGCTGCTCTTACCGGACAGGGCGGCTCGGGCGGCTCGGCTGCAGGGCGGCTCGGCGACTCGGCGGCTGGGCGGCTCGGCTGCAGGGCGGCTCGGCGACTCGGCTGCTCGGCGGCTCGGCTGCTGGGCTGCTCTGCGGCTGGGCGGCTCGGCTGCTGGGCGGCTCGGGTGGCTCGGCGGCAGGGCGGCTCGGCGGCTCGGGTGGCTCGGCAGCAGGGCGGCTCGGCGGCCCGGCGGCTCGGCTGCTGGGCGGTTCGGCGGCCCGGCGGCTCGGTCGCTGGGCGGCTTGGCGGCTGCGGCTCCTGATCAGGGACGGCGGAGAGACCGGTGGGAGGCGGCGTCGGAGCCGGGAAGGGCGGCGCCGGGGCCGTAGGAGTAGGCGCCGGGGTCGTAGGAGCAGGGGCCGGGGCCGTAGGAGTAGGCACCGAGGCCGCTGCAGGGGAGGGCGACGACGAGGCCGCAGGTAGGGCGGCGACGGGGCCGCAGGTAGGGCGGCGACAGGGCCGCAGGTAGGGCGGCGACGGGGCCGTAGGTAGGGCGGCGACGAGGCCGCAGGTAGGGCGGCGACGGGGCCGCCGAAATGGGCGGCGACGAGGCCGCAGGTAGGGCGGCGACGGGGCCGCGAAAGGGGC